TTTTTAGCACTGCACTATTAGCATAATCGACGGTCACTGTCACTGTCACTACCACTCTCACTGTCACTGTCACGTTTGACGTTTCACTTTGTCCGCGACCTGCGACCTTCTCTGCCGGGTTTCCAAAATTATACTGAGTGAAAATAGATAGAAGTGTCTGATTTAAAGCACTGAATCGAAAAAGATACATATTGGTACTCATTGTTTAAATAAACACACATACACAAAGGCACAACAACAAGCGATCGAGAGTCTCGATTCGAGACCGATGGAACAATCGGGCGACCAACCATTGCTCTGCTCCCAACGATCGAGTAAATGCAATTTGCCGGTTGTTTTGCTGCTTTATCCACTAAGCTCCAAAGAGCACAAATAATACAAGTATCGTGCTCGTGCTTCATGGCGCCATATACATACATACATACATACTTATGTACCCTGCAGGGAAACCGAGGACTAGTGAATCAAATTTCTAGTTCTGAACTAGGTCTTTATCGCCAAAAAGGAACTAGAACCCCACCACTCCGAAATCGGCGAAAAGTGGCACTTTTAAAAACTAATTTTTCAGTTTTTTTTTTCACTAGAAATCTATATCTAAAGTGACGAATTTAGAAATGGTTCGGAACTATAGCAAAAGGCATGCAGAACGAACTGGATCTTATTTTTCGAATTTAGAACTAGTTCGGAACTATCGAATAAGAGATGCAGCGGGGGGCTTGTTTACTTTACATAGATATGTGTTCGGCGGCTTTTTCGTTCAAATACGCTTCTATTCTGTGCTTCGCAGATGCTTTTTCATAGCTTGGTAACACAAAACTAAAAAATTTGTGTTAACATTTCAACATCTTGGGACCGTCTGGAATCTAAGAAATAACAGCGAGCACCTCTGCAAACTCAGCTACAGCTAAAGGTATGTAAACTTACATTTCTCACAATCATTCAAACAAATTTAATTTCAAATTGAAAACACATTTCTTCCAAAATAACTTAAATTCGCACACACGAAAGAACCAAAAAGATTGAAAAATTATGATACTTTTTTCTTTCGTCTGTCGATTTTAGAACTGGTTCGGAACTATAGAATTTAGAAAAGGGATTCAACGCGAACCAGTACTGGGTCTAAATGTACTAGAAGCGCACCAGTTCAGATCTAGAGATTTTCCCCACAGGGTACATACATACATATCAGTGTGAGTATGTGCACACGATCATGAATAAGATTCATATTTGTTTCTATATATCCGTGAGGGTGATATTAGAACTAGTTAAAAAACAACTAGTTTTTCACTAACCACTTTGTGTCTGGTGTTAAAAGTCGTCCCTGCCAGCCAAATTCTTAATGTGGCTCGTGCCTCTGTTTGAAACGATTTTAATTGATTTTATATTTAGTAGTCCTTTCCCCTTTTTAGCCGACTTCAAAAAAAGAAGGAAGGTTATCAATTCATCGGAATATTTTTTATGTATTTTACCGGATAACTTTGGACCATGTGACCCGTTTTGGATAATTCTCAAGGGTGATCCCATACTAATTTGGTTTAGATCCGATCATTGGAGTATGAAGAAATTATATATAAATATACGTAAAAATAGCATAAATATTTGGTGTTTACACATTTGCTAGTGCGTGGCCGAGCTTCATCTCCGATTTGTGGTGCGCGCCTCGATGTTGTCGCCCACAGTTTTACGCCGCCTACAAACGTCAAATGGTTTGAATGAGAAGCTGTTTTTCATGGCTGAAATACACTCGGAGGTTTGCCATTGCCTGTCGAGGGGCGACCGCTTTTAGAAAAAATGTTGTTGCATTTTATTTTTTGATGTTGGTCGGAAACGAACCTGGGCTTGAAGCCAGGCCCTGCGGATGGTAGCGCGCAGTGAACGAATATTGCTAGTTGTTCAGTATGCCATCCACAATGAATGCAGGAGGACATCTGTATACTCAATTGTTGTAAATTTTAGGTTTTCTACCATTTTTGCCCATAAAATTTGGGCACTAAAGTCATAAACCATTCATCCAAGGCAACTTCAAAACAGACTCGGTGGTTCTACAACTTCGTTCAATTTGGATACAAAAATTTTGATGCATTTATCCCAGTTCTATAGAAGAGTACTAACATACTTTTTTTTTGCAACATAAATAGATTAATATAGATTAATAAACTCTTGATAGTCTGGTGTAGACTTGCATCAAATCCTATAAAATTGTAGTGACAGGAACACAATCACGTGTAAAGGGGCATACAACTTATCAGTTTCAAAAAATTTCATTGAATTCCAGGCAAATATATAATCAAAATCTTAAGAGATAAAGATTGCAAGGGATATTTATCAAACGTTTCGGTTTCGTTTTATTTAAATAGAATAGTTATCAAAATTTAGTACTATAATGCTCAATTTGCAATTGTGCATGCAAATACTTTCTTAAATACATATGTATGACTTATTATTTGTTACCAGTAAAAAAATTTAAATAAAAAGAAAAACACTGGCCACGTTACACTTATTTATTATTTAAGTAATTGTGCAATTGTCGGCGGCAGTGGTGTAGTTGTAAGCAGTGCGCGCTTCCACTCCGCAACGCCTGGGTTCAAACCCTGGCCAAAACAACATCGCAAAAAAATATAGAAAAAATGTTTTTTCTTAACAGCGGGTCGTCCCTCAGCAGGTAAACCTCCGAGTGTATTTCTGCCATCGAAAAACAACTGTAGGTCCCTCCGCTCTGTGTGACAACATCAAGGCGCACGCCACAAATCGGAGGAGAAGCGCGACCGGCATTAAAATTATAACTTTACTTTTCCACACCCTAATGTACATGTGTGTATACTTACATAAATATAAATACATATGTATGTACATCCACTATTGACATATTCTACCATGATGTATTGTGATTTTACGTTTAATGTTGCGGTTGACTAGGCGCCGCACAGTGGGCTGAAATGAGACCCTGTAGTCAAAATAAAATATCTCCCCTTGGGATTAACCTTTTTGTGGAGTTTTTATTTTTTTATTTTTATTAAGACCCTTTTCACATTACTTGGTATGATATCGGATCGACATTTTCTCCTCCGTTTTTTTGGGCTTACCGAAACGAATCCGGCGTGCAGTGATTTGATCACTTGTCGGAATACTTTAATTCACGAAATTAAATTTGAAAATTTCACAAGTCATTTAACAAAAGTATCCTCAACCTAAGCCAAAGACGTTATTGTTGTATTTATTTTTATCTATTTCATTTCATTTACTTCTTACTTTCTTCTTCTTGTTTTTGCGGGCCGCAAAATGTGTGCAGTAAATTTTCAGACTTTACTGGCCGTTCTAACTGCAGTGCGGTATGTCGAAATAAATTCGCTTTGATTTCATATATGCGACACTAATGTAGCCGGTATACTTTCGGTAACAAACAAATATGTCGATCAAACATCGTAGCGAGTAATGTAAAAAGCGCTCTAAAGGTAAATACTATACATAGTGGCGAAAATATAAATAGGCTAGTGAGATCCGCTGCGAATTCTGTCTTCAGAAGTCGAGAGACTAACTAGGGCAGCTACCAACAGTAGCTCGCGCTCGCTCTGGCCATTGCTCGATGAACGAAGAACAAGTAGTCTTCTTAAGGTTTTCAAAGCCAAACGTTAGGCTTCTCACAGGAATACTAACGGAACATTGGACCATTGGCCATATGGCCGCCAGGTTCGGAGCCCCTGCTGGGGCAGGAATGAGGAGGAGTTAGAACCCGTCCATCGCCCTTCCTTTGCGAGTGTCCAGCACTTCGAGTAAAACGCCTCAAGTTTCTTGGAGACCATTTATACGAGAACCTGAATACTTTGGGAATAGCTCCTCTGGAAGGACTGCTAGGATTCGCCAGAAAATCAAAATGGTTCGAAGACATGTAGAGATAGGCTTGTGGTAACCCCCCATGGGCATCGCAATGAGCCTTCGCGGCCTGCGATTGAACTCTTCGCAGAGCTGCCCGTTTAACATAACCTAACCTAACCTAGTGACATTTCAGCATCTTTAGCTATTTCCCTTTCGATTATTTAATGTTTAATATCTTTTATGAAAGTGTAGCTCATTATCTAACAAAAACTATGCAAGTCAAAATTTCAAACTTTGTACAAAAATTGCAAAGTTTAATAAAAATGTTGAAGTTTTTAAATAGATTTCTTAAAAAACATTATGAGTATGCAGTTTTGTAGCCCGTTCAGTTTTAGTAAAACAAACTACAAATTGTAAGTAGGTAGGATTCCATTGATTTTTGGATATGTGGAAGGTGTTGCTCATTTTCTCCATGCAGAAAAATTGTCGAGCATTATTTGTTTAAAATTGAAATTCTTTTCAATTGAAATCTTGTATGAATATTTATGAGAAGGTATGAGGTATACGAGGTAGATCCTCGCGGGACGATTATTTTCAGATGGAAATGATTTACGCCTTCTTACAATAAATATATTCGTCTCGCGGGACCTTTATTTCAGGACAGAAATTATTTACCTCTTCTCGTAATAATTATATGGGATTTTTACTTTTTTCTTCTCTCCGGCCGTTTATTTCAAGAAGGAAATTATTTACGTCCCACGTTTTCTCTTAATAGAATTGGTACTTTTACAACCGATTTCACGCAATTTTTTAATTTTAATTTTAATTTTGCATTTACCAATTTCATTACGCCCCTGTTTCACTACACACTTGTCCCGATTTTTTGACATAAATTTAACTAATGCAGCTACGAAGTTGAAACTAGGCGAAGTCAATAGTCATGGCATATATAAGAAAAAGCCCAATTCTTGACTTGTACAACGCCCACCTTAACCGCTCATACAACACTATTTGTAGCTCATTAAATATTTAACGCGTTAAATCTCCGAACTCGATTAAGAAGTTTCGCTTCAATAAAAACCAAATACAACCAGGCTCAAATTTTGTTATTTTGTTGTTGATTTGATACTCTAAAATGTCAAAAAAGGTAAACACAGTCTGACATTTATGAGTGATATGAGGGATCTTCGGGAATTCTGGGACTATTTCGGGATTTTCGAAACTACCTCGAAATTTTTGATGGTTTGGCGACTCCAATTGTGACCAAAATTTATATGTGATATCCTCGACATATTACATGCATATATGTATGCATAAACCTTAGGATACGATCTCTTACGAACGACAACGTGACAATGGCAACCCTACAAGAAAAGGACATTTTATACCGACCGATTCTCAATACACTCAAACAAAAACCAATACACATGAAAAATGCTGCAAAAATTTCCCCACAATTTTAAAGCAGTAAAACAGGGACCTTAAGTTGACATCAATCGAGGCCATATGATGAAAAGGGATGCAAAATCACATGTACAAAAAGGAACTGGTCAGATTTTTGAGAAATCCCTGCAATTCTGACGTAAAATATGATCCCAAAAGGCTGCAGATCTCCCAGTCATATGACCAGCAGATGTCTTGTAGGGAATGTTTTCTCTAACGCTCGTTTGCTCAAGTATTTATCGCGGTAAAATACAATCGCAAGAGGAGCTAATATGTGATCAAGGCGCATCCATGCAAGGTGGTGGTGATTGCATATTTTGTTATTGCTTTTTGGTACAGGAGGATGTCAAAACGAAAGGGAATAGGAGTTAACTTTCATCATTTTCTTTTGTTGACATCCTAAAGTTGCGCCGCTTCGTCTTGGATGACATTCTCCTGTACTAGTGTAGAGACAAAAATATCCAATCAGCTGATCAATCAATACCACCTTGTATTGATGCGCCTTGTACGAGATCCTATTTTCGAGCGATTGCGAGCGAATTTCTTCGCACTCTGATAAATACTTACTGTATAATACAATTTTATCACTACAACTAAGTGAAACTCTTTTTGGTTCGGCTATAAATAATAACCATAGCAAGGGCGCCCCATAATACAACGTGGAAGGACCAAGACCACCAACTGACGAAGCTTTTTGTCTCGGCCTAAATCGACAAACGGTTGTAGTGCCACATAAGAACTAAAAATAATAATAGGTGTGTGTTTGAAATAATGATTTATTTTTCTTAAATATACGTATGTTTTTGCAAGAAATTTTTATCTTCATCTACCTAAGGATAATATTAAATATTTATAAGAGCATTATCGATATTCAAATGTCACCCATTAATTTAATTAGATTAATATGATTGCTAATTTTGAGTGCAAAATGAAAATAATGAGTCTCATTCCGAATATTCAAATACATTTAGTTCCATCGCATCTTTGTTTTAATTGTCGCATAATTAATATTATTTTATATCACATAAATGAAATTAAATATGTTATGTTTTAAACTATTACATATGTATGTATTTTTAATTAGCTTTTGTTTAGGCTTAATCAAATGAGTTGTTCATAACTTTACATATACATAAATTACACAAGCACGCCAAGGCCGGCCTGCAATCGTCACATTCGTCATTACAAGTGGTTCATAATTTGACGAAGATACCTTTTCTTTAAACTGTGCATATGTATTGTGTGTGTAATATGTTTTTTTTTAATTTTATTTTTATGCAGTTTTATCGAGGATGTCTTCTATCCTACTATATGTATAGTTTTTCGAACCCTATTACTCCAGTTATTGTAATATTAATACAAAGAATACTTCAGCATTATCTGAATATTCTTACAAAGCTTGTAATTGGATAACACTTAAGTTTCTAAGCTACCTTTTGATTTTTGCTTAAACGTTTCACATGCATTAGTTCTTGTTTTTGACACCCTAGCTTCACTTAAGCCGATTTAAATTTTTTCTTTATCTACGTTATTTAAACATAATTAACCTGCAATTTATTCAACTGAAACTTCTATAGCTTATCAATAATGTAAAAGCAAAGCGTTTATTTGCCGTATTTAACTGTTTGCAACGCATTTTAAAAACGCGACAGATTATTTACTTCTTTGCTTCGCAAATTCTTCGAGATTTTTCAGTTTTTCATATTATAAATTAGACTTGAACATATCGTTCATAATATACGTATTTCGTTACATTTTTTGCTGATCAACGATTTAAATAGATTTGTCCTACTAACTCTTGAATCCTTCTTAGTAAATCTTCCCAGTTTCACAACAAATCCCGATGGAATACCCAAGTGTGTTTCGTATGCGCAAACTTGTGCGAAAGCCATTGTGATTCCAGTAAATTAAAACGGTCTTGGCTGAGATACAGTGGCTTGCCACGCCTATGGAAATATCAAGAAATGTTTGATAGAAAATATACAAAATACTCTTATATAGTATAGCATTTGGCAGTATTTAACTCACTTAAGGTCTCGATCCTCTTCATCAAAATCGTCTAAATACAGCGAGCCCCAGAGACAGGCACGTCGTCCACGGATCACTATTATGTAGGTAGATGTGACTACAAGAAATATTCCAATTCCTCCTCCACAGGTTATTGTATGCTAAAGTTAAATCCGGAATTAGTAACAGCAGTACTTGATATACATACGTACAGATCCCCTATACTCTATTATATAAAATTGAAAGCCAAGTTATCGTGATCAAACTCCCAAATCATCATCAGTACAAAAGTCTTTTTTCGGCAAATTTTAAATTTAAATTCAATGAAATGAAATGAAAAAATAAGATAAGCAAAAAACCACCAGCTCCGTCAGAATTGGGAAAGACCTATCCGAATCGTTTGCTGCCATCCGGTGTTTCAGGCAGGGCGACTCCCTTTCATTTGATTTCTTTAATCTGAAGAGCCGCACACAAGAGTGTGCAATTGCTGGCGTGTGCCGATGACAAAAACCGTTCTGCCTTTTCCCCCCCCCAAGTTGAATAAGGAAGCAAAGCGAATGGGTCTGGTGGTAAACGAGGAAAAGACGAAGTATTTCCTGTCATCAAACCAACAGTCAGCGCATTCGCGCCTTGTCACCCACAGTCAAGGTGTATCATACAAGGTGTGATTGACAGCTCAGTGCGGCTGTCTTTTAAGGTACTATTAAGAGCGTGTGTGAATCGGTAACAAAGTTCGCTGCGAGTAAATTTTTGACAAGTGTGGGGTGAATAAAACTTCACTAGCTCACGAGGCTAGTGAAATTTTTGACAAATGCATAGAAAATTTTGACAATCGCAAAGATTGTTGTTGTGTGTAATTTTTCTGCCTCAAATTTAAGCAAAAACAATAAAATATAAGGAAATGGAGTTTCTGGTGGCAAAATTAATAAGTATTACACTACGGGCGTGTGTGAATCGGTAACAAAGTTTGCGGTAAGTAAATTTTTGACAACTATGAGGTGAATAAAATTTCAGTAGCTCACGAGGCTAGTGAAATTTTTGACAAATGCATAGAAAATTTTGACAATCGCAAAGATTGTTGTTGTGTGTAATTTTTCGTAAACCAAAAGCTTAAATTGATGAAATGCAATCAGTGATGGTAGATAATTTCTTAAAAATGTTTCAAACGCTTTAATTGATTAAAATTAAATTGACTAAAAGCTTAAATTGATGAATTGCAATCAATAATGGTGCATGTTTTCTTAAAATATTCATTTCACTTCATTTTATAATATTTTATTCTGCGGTTGTCAAAAATTTACTGTTGTCAAAAAAATTATTCACCAGCTTTCCCCATAGAACTTTGTTACCGATTCACACGCGCCCTAAGTCAAAAAATATTAACAAACGATAAAAAATAAATAAAAATTTCAATTTGAAGTTTTGCCCACAGTTATAATTTCGAAAAAGTAGAGAATTTCGATAATAATATCAGCATAGAAATCCACGTAACAAGTTCTACTTTGGACTGGGTAGGCAATTCAGAAGTAAAGTCCTCCCTCGGCGTGTGAACACCAGGCTCTATAAGTCACTCATCATGCCCGTGCTGATATATGGCGCAGAAGCTTGGCCAATGGAGTAGTCGAGAGAAAGATTTTGCGGAAGAATGAGGGGCCTTCACGCATTGGCGAAGGCGACTCCAGCTTTGAAAGTATTCAACTCAAAACCCACTGGTGGTAGCAGAGGAAGAGGAAGGCCTCCTCTGCGATGGAAAGATCAAGTGGAAAAGGACTTGGCAAGCAGAAGCCCTTCAATTTGTGCCACTCTATACAAAATAGAATGGATAAATGAATGCAGAATGGCTTTTAGCTCCTGAAATTATCGACTGGATCGTTGTAGCAACAGTGGCTGCATTTTATTCACACCAGAATGCCTATCGAAAGAACCGATCGCTCACCGAAACAAGTGCCGGGTCAAAGGGAATTTCGGCATGCGGCTGCAGAGATTGAATAAATTCGTTCACGGAAAGTTTTTAGACTCTCCCTTTCAACTTGCCTGATAAACCTTTTGGATTAAGACTAGCTGAGTATACCTCCCAGTGCACCGTGCGCCCAGGCTTATTAAACAGCTGACGCACGACTTTTTCTTAGCGCTGAGACTTCCCGAGACCTCCAAACGGTTTTGGCCATGCGATTTGGCCTTGTCTCGGGACAGCTAGAGAGATAATATCTATTAGCCTGTAAGCTTGGTATTCTAACTGCATAAAATCGAAACTATATATATTTTAATTAAACAACTTATTAATATTTGTGCAAGAACTTACCCGAACAGCTTCGCAACAATCATTTTCCGCACAACATGTTTGTTTCAGACACACAATTGTACCACATAATAAACAAATGGAGCTTTCCTTTGGCACTTTGTAACAATTCAGACATGGACGTTCGTGGTAGTACTAAAAAAAAACACCAAAGACAATAATACAGAAACTATTATTTGAATTAGTACTGGCATACCGTGAACAAGCGCTCATATTCGCGTGGTAGCTCGAGGAGTTTCGGCTGCTGCCACGATGCATGCTGGTTCATGATGACGAGCTCTCGCACTGTATCGGTTGGTGGCCCTATATACATTAATTGCTCACACCAAAACTTGGGCAAAGTTTGTTCAGTTCCAGCAATGAAGCAGAGGCCCTTCGAAGCGTTAAAACAGTCCCAGTCCATTGAATCAGTTACGAGTTCCAAGTAATAAACCAGTCGCACAAACTCTAAGCCTGGAGCTGATATCTCTGGCATGTCGTGCCTGTAAAGATGCTGCCTCAGCAATGCCGCAATGCGCAGAAATGGTAGGCAAAGAGTTTGCAACTGAGCTTCCATGGATTTCATATTTACTTCGACCTCGGTATTGGAAGCTCCAGTACCAACTCCATTTCCAGGATTGCCTAATGCATTTAATTGTGCAGAAGCCGCCAACGCCGCAGCCGCAGCTGCAGCCGCAGCAGCTGTTGAAGTACTGGGTATGCATTCGCGACGTAAATGTGACATACGGTTTGTGTGATTCAGTACTAACGCCATAGCGCGTCCCAAATAGAGCATATTCGATAAGCTGCCACCGCTTGAACGTGATGAGTTGCGACGGCCACCAGTATCAGCATCATCCGTGGAAGGAGACTTGTTATATTTCGATATGATATAATCACATTCTAAATCAGTGAGCGTAACACAAAGTTGTACAACTATTTGATAGTAGAGCAAATTGTACATAACCTTAACCATACATGTGAAGAAATCTGCAAGCAGAAGAGATTATAATCAGTTATGATGCACATACATACATACATACAGTTACTCAAACAAATGACCACATGTTGATTTTCTTCAAATATTCGTAATGTTTTTCGAGCCAAATTTTTTTTTTTGTTATTTTTATATAAAAATATCGTCTAAGCTTTAACCAAAACCGTGTAAACACAGCAAACTTCAAACTTTATACAAAATTTAGGAAAATTCAACAAATTTTCATCAAAATTTCAACTTTTTATTCTGAATTTTAGTCTAATGAGGTGCAAGACGGCTAAAAATCGCGTTGATTTTTTTAAATTTTTTTTTTTTGGTGACGGATTTTTGCACTTCTTTTCATATAAGTATCAATTTCTTATAAAATAAAACGCGGGAGACAGTCAAACAACAAAATTATCTGGAAAAATGTTACGAATATTAAAAAAACAACACGTGGTCATTTGTTTTAGTCACTGTATGTGCATTAGACCGAGTCGAGCTCCCTACGAAAGAAAAAAATTTGTAATTTTCGTTCATTCCGAGTCCTAAAAACAGCCACAATCATTCTTTTATTTACATACATATGTATGTCCATATTTTAAGGTGTGATAGATCGTTTAAAATCAGGGACGTGAACCGGATGAAACATTTGGTCGGTTCGGTTCAGCGGTTCGAACCGTTTTTGCACTTTTGGATTGGTTCGTCAAAGCGGTTTTTTTGGTCTTTGAACCGGGGTTTCGGTTCGGTTCAACGGTTTGAAAAACAAACAAAAAAAATAAAAATAACGCGCAAGTTTAAGTGTCCAGTGTCAAGTGCAACAACGCGCAAGATTAAGGGTCAAGTGTCTGTCAAATGAGATGGGTTGCCTTTACATTGTATATTGTCACATGGTAGGTATTACCATGTTTAACAAAAAGACAAAAAAGTGAGTACATTTATCTATTGAAAATTGGGTGAAACGAACTTTTAAACTTTTATGGAAAGTGGTTCGGTTTTCGGTTCGGAGCAAACATTTGTGGAAAATTTCGGTTCGGTTAATGGTTCAGTTAATTAATAGAAAAAAGCGGGTTTCCGGTTCAAAACCGATTCACGTCCTTGTTTAAAATGCATCTTTGAGTAGCATTGATTATTTTACACTAATTAAAAATATAAGATTTTTTTTTTTTTTTTAATTTTATGGCAACTATATTTTAATTTCGACTGGAAAATTTAAATAGTGGATATTTATCGATAAGGAGGCAACTTAGGTAAACAGGATATTATAGTGCAGAAATTTTTATGTTACGTTCGGATTTTATAAGTATGTACTGTTCTAATTTCGAATAGTTGATTGCCTTGAAATTATCGTGTATGAGTTATACGAATTAAGGTAGACGGAAATTTGTATTTATTTTTTAAGTCAATGTATCACACATGGCACATTTGCTGCAAGAGCGTCATAATCCATAATAAAAATAAAGACAAGTTGCCTTCTAATGAGCTATGGTTAATCGATGCACAGCTATAAAAATGTTAAACAATTTACAAAAAGAGGTTTGAGATCATTTCTGCACACTTAACTTTTTTTTTTTTTTTGATTATTACACTCTTGCAGCAAATGAGCGATATGCATGTGAAACTGTGTAGAACTCACCTTGATCCAGATGTAGAGGAGCTAGTAAAATAAATTTCAAAAGTAATGCTATGGGATCTGCTAAAAGGCTGGGTATCAATTCGCGACAATGTGAAGGCACTGGAGCCGCATCGGTTACAGGTAATCCAGCAAGTGAGGCCCACGATCGCCATAATGGCCATTCCACCAGCACCCGCACGTGCACCGATAACACATGCAACAGAGGAACAATGCAGTCACGTTTTGGTTTATAACGCGTTGCATTTGTTGTGCACAGAGAACCGCCCCGCTGTATAATTTCAGACTCTAAGTTCGTGCGAGCAATCGATGTAACAAAGATAAATAAACTTCGAAACGTGGGTGGCACACGCTTCATTTTACGATGAGTTATATTTGTCATGTCTTCCATGGCGCGGCCCATGGCTTCCGAGAGTTTCGTTGACGTCTGCTAAAACGCGAAAATCCAAAAAGGAGAATATGCTTTAGGAAAAAGTAAACTGACTAAAAAGTGTGTAAACCAGGCGCGCACCCATGGGACGAGTTCGAGTGGTTCAACTCTGTCAATATGCAAAGCAAAAATAAACTATTTCGGACACATAGTTGAATCATCAAATATTTTCTAAGTTAATTTGAATGTAATCAATTGAATATTTATTTTTTCGGTACAATATCCTCATTTTCATCTAACCGAAATTAGGCAAATGGTCGTCAAACAAACGAGTTAGCATCTCTGCAATTTATATAAAGATAACTTTACTTATGACACACAAATGTAGTGGCGTCCACTGTGACTGAGTGCTTAGAGGTGCGTACTAACACTCCGTAGAACCCATGGGTTTTGAAAATTAGAAAAAGCTTCTTCTTACAGCGGTCTCTCCTCGGCAGGCAATGGCAAGTCTCCTAAATATATTTCTGCCATGAAACAGCTTTTCATAAAATCCATTTGCCGTTCGGAAGTGGCGTAAAACTGTAGGCCCCTGCATTTGTGCAACAGCATCAAGACGCACATCACAAATAACGGAGAGGCTTGGCCAAACACTTAGCAAAAGTGTAAGCGCCAACATATTATTATTATTATCTTTATATGTATATGTACTCTCTACATTGATAAATGCCTTTGAAAACACACAAAAAAAACCCTTATGACTTTTTACGCCACCAAAAACTTATCTTTAAAGAGAATTTTCTGGGTGCGCACCTGGTGTAAACCGACTATAAGTGCTTACCGTTGGGCGCGCATTTTCTTTGATTAAGTTTGTCAACTCGGCTACTAGTTGCTCGAAAGGTTGAGTGCCCGAGCGCACCATGGGAGTGGGCCTGTCTAGTTGAGGACTCAATGGCAACACCGAGTTAGAGAGCTGTCTGCATACCGGACAATAAAACTCGCCTCGTTCATGCTGATGCTGGCGCTGAGTGGCGTAGAGTGTTTTCAAGTATGCATCCAGGCAACTGAGATGAACATGGTGGCCACACGATTGAACATGTACACCATTCTCGTAGGCCATGTTGTTGGAGAGATACCAAGACTCTTCGCCAAATTTTAAACTTAGCAAATCAGTTCGTCGATTGAACTCAGTGGCTAACCTTGTGGTCAGCTTTAGGCGCTCCTCGTCTTCGTGACAAAGCGGCAATGGCAAACGTTCAGCGGTGCGACGCCGATGTCCAACAATGCCACTGGATTCAACCAATACCACAAGCCCAATAGGATTGGATTCCGTGCTGGGTGTTGTGCAATTGCAAATAATGCAGTCATACTCTTTTTCGCGTGGCTGCTCTTCGTACAAATCATCGTCTTCGTCGTCCAGGCCACACTCCATATTATGCGCCGCCGTTTGCATGAACTCCTTCTGCTTATTTGCGAACTCTTCCATCATTTTCATTTGCCGTTCGCGGGCGCGCTTCCGACGTTCCTCCTTTTCCCTGGCTTCGCGGGCCCTTTGCTCCGCTTGCTTTTCTCGTTGGTTCGGCCAAAGGCGCGAACGTATCTCATCAATGCTTTGTGCACACAACTCATCACGCTTAGCTATTTTACGTATAAGATTACCAATAAAATATGGACCATCCCCAATTCGAGAATCGGATACTCGTATTTTTTTATAATTACGATTTCGCTTTCTTATTGTGCTGCTGTACGGTTGTTCGCGTTGACTAGAATCAAAACTCAAGTTGGAAGCTGCGGCCGAAGTGCTTGCCTCCGAACAGTCTATATCCATGGCAGTAGGAGAATTCGAAGCGTTACCCGCTTTCTGACTCCATTCGTCTACCTTCAATACGCTTGCATTGCCTGATGTACTTGTTGATGATGCTGCTGCGGACTTTCCCAATTCACATGTCGCACTTTTATTGTGCTTATTTTCCGCGTCGCTCTCTTCAATGTGTGTCCCTTCTGTAGAATCTTCTTCTTCTTCTTCCTCCTCATCTTCAACATCACTCAATGAGAAGCTATCCAATGTACCGCTAAGTTGAGAATGTAGCTTTAAAAGCAACGAAAGTATACTTTCCTCTATGAGAACTTCGTCCTTGTTTTGTCCCCCAATTGCATTGTCTACTAACTGTGTAGTCCGTTTTCGAGTACTCGAATCGAAGGTGCGTCGTCCTAAAACTCCTCGCATTGTTGTTGTGGGCACTATGCTTCTACTACCGACCGGCACAGCCACAGGTTGCACCCGCTGAAATGGCAACAGCATGCTGTTGCTATTATTGCTGGTTGGTGAAAACATTTCATTTTGCTGTTGCGGATGTTGTTGAGCTTCCGTAGCCCTCCTTAAGCCTCCGCCCGATGTACCACTAGCGCCCACACTCCCACCAGTCGCTACACTACCACCAGCCAGTAACTGTAATTCTCTGCGGATAGCCACTTCCATTCCACTTTCGGGCAATGTGATAGGTTGCAGCGAGAAACGAAATCCAACTGACGGTGCGGCACCCTCAATAGCATCATCGTCGTCTCGCAGCGTATCGTCTTCTTGACTATCTTGTCTAATGACCAATCCTTGTTCGGGCACCACAGAGAGATCCGGTGGCAAAGCCACTTCCATATTCTGCATGCGCACCATTGCTGTCGAAGTTGCGCCCGCCACACTCACACTCATCGAATCGTCGTCTAAGTCATCATCACTGCCACCGATCATAGGCAATGCAGCCGTCGTCTCTGTTTCCACATCATAATCCAAATCACCGTAAAATTGACTCGAACGATAGTTCGCTGGCGAAACCTGCGGCTCGTGTGACTTTAAGGAAAGTTTCGTAACGACATATCGCAAATTGCAGCTTAGATTATCCGTCGGATAACAATGGAAAAGTTTGGGCGGATCCCGCCTCATTGCAAATGGATATCCGGGTTTACCTTTCGGTTCACATTCCACTACAGCAGCCTTATCATTGCTGGCGCCATTTGTGTCCTCACTCTTTTCGACAGCGACCTCCAAGAGAAAAATTGCCAGAGCTAACAGATGCTCGGATACATCGCGTGAGTGCACCGCCCGAAACAAAATAGAAAGTATGGTAGAATGAAAAACCCGAGAGTTCAAAATGCGACATGGATCGCTGAAAGCAGCGCCTACAGGACGTGGCATGCGAAACGGTGGCCATAAGTTACCGCTCGTCGGCATCTTATTCTTACTCTTGACGTAATTTGTAAACCGATCGAGGGAAGATTGAAAATCCCTCCGATGTACGGCACGTAGTAGCACATGCAAAGGGTCATAATATTCCTCCCACACATCATCTATAGGCGTGAAAAGACCTTGTTCCAAGTTTTCCGAGCCGGAGGAAGGCGCTTTATATACAGACAACTTCTTAAGGAAGTTTTCGAAGTTTTTCGTATGTACATTACCCGATCTCTCAGGCATTAATTCTAACAGTTGTGAGTGTGTTTTATTTTCAGTAGCCAGTAAAGCGCTGATCTCAATTATACATTGTGTAGCCTCGTCGTTGCCGAGATTGGTACGACTGGTAACAAGCGTTGCCAGGAATGTTAGGAATCCCTCTAACATCGAGCACTGCTCCATCTTTTGGGGCTGCTTCAGTGGTGCCAACTCTAGCCACTGACCCACACCAAACAGTTCGATTGTGTTCTGCAAAAAGAAGTACTGTGGCAAGTTTGTAGCACAGATTTGCAGAAAAAAGAGGTCCATGTCGGCCATAGAATTGCAGAAGTTCGCCTGTATATAAGTCATAGCTTGACCTTTGATTTGTAAGCCATTGCGAACCCATTTCCCCGCCAATATCTCATAAAAGAAGCTCTGAAAAATATGAAAATATTTCAAGTTAAAATATGAGATACTAAAATTTTAAAATTTTGTATGTCTTTAAAAAACAAATCGCTAGATAAACAAGGCGAATTCATATAAGGTGCTAGCGGTAGTACAAAAACAAACTTACATGTATTTTGCTTTTGCTTTCGGTACACAAATGTCAAATTTCATCTATTCTTCGCTCAATGAAGAAGAGGGAAAGCAAATTGCAACACTCTCACTTTTTCGCTCACTCTAAAGTAATTGCACTTTACTGTGGACGCTACCTATCTTAAATTTATTTTTTACATTAGTAAAGACTATTAAATTTTCTAGATACCTATGTCAACAATAGAAATATTTATAATTAAAATAATTTTAAAAAGTAAATGTCAGAGAATGTTCTTTCGGGTTATAATAAAGATTCCGATTTCCAGTTCTGTTTTAAGTCTTTTATTTAGACTTAAAAATCAAAGTCTACATGGATCGCCTATTATAACTCAATTGTTTCTTAATTTTCGACCTAAGCGCTTATTGCTTTTGACCACAGATATGTACATATGCTATGTAGATAAGCTATGAAATACGAAAAAAGGGTATGAAAGCCCTTTTCCAGAATGAAATATTTTCACGGGACGGGAAAACGGATTAAAAGCAAACAACTTCGTGAAGTTTAAAAAAAATTATAAAAAGTGAAATGATATTCGACGATCGGGGAATGAAAGTGCGTGAGGTGGCTGAAGCTGTAGTCATCTCAACTGCTGGTGCATCACATTTTACACAAATATTTATACATGAAAAAGTTATCTGCTCGATGGGTGCCGCGATTGCATACACCCGACCATAAGGCTAGCCGTGTGGATGACTCGTCGCCTGGATAAAAGATTGTCGTATGTTACTTTCGGCTGGTTTTGCGAAATCGCGATTTAAGTTTGGAATGCAATTTCTCAAAAACGCGACGATGTTCTCCAGTCTCTGAGTTCACGAAATTTTTAAATTATTTTATTTTTATTGTTTATCGTTAATTATTAATTATTTTTAAGTTTATGAAGGATTTTCTTTAAAGGGGGAAAACACGACACCCACAAGCTGGTACAAACACAAAAATATCAAGTGTAAGTTGCTGGTAAGGTATTGCCCTTCACCTGGCGGTCCTTACCACTTCCTTGCCGAATCTCCATTACTTTAACAAAAACGTGGCCGCCTTATGTAAGTAGGAATTAAGAATGTACATTTGGTATCAGGCATACCTCTGAGCCGCTTTACAAAATAAGTTACGTGTAATGCAGAGCAGTCGCTCGGAATAGTTCGGCGCTTGGAAATAAGTACGGCTGCACGTTATTTTGCAACTGACAACGTAATGTGTCGTCGGAGGTGTTCATTTTGCGCTTTACTAGTAGATGACATTGGCCATGATGACAATTTTGGTACTAAAAACTGAAAGAAAACATGGCTTACCTCGCAAGCATTAGCAGAGCTAACACAATTGGGTGGTTCACAAGGTGTCGTACTTGTCGTATTGTTGTATGTTGTAAAGTTTTTAACGGCTAAATACATGTTTAGATGACTTGAAATCACCACCAACTATATTTTAATTGTGTGAAATTTCATAATAAAACTTTTATGTTAGCTTATGGTTTTAGCCGTTTAAAGTTTATGACATACAACAGTACGACAGTATACAACACCTTGTGAACTCCCTAAATGTAATACGAGTATTTTACTTGTCTTCCGTTTTATATTTAATTTAGAAATAAATCACTTAAAGCTCGCTATAAAATGATGCTCAAAATGTAATTATTTTTAAATATTTTTTTGAAGTATTTTTTTTTTTAAGTAAACAACCACTTCTTTAATTCCTTCAAAGAATATGGTAGCTTCAATTTAAAAGAAAATGTCATAAGCACAATGGGAGCCATGGCGGGTAAGTGGAAGAAGCGAAACTACCTTTAAATATTTGTATCATGTATTATATTTCTATATTGGCAGTAAGCTATCTTCTCAATGTGTAAAAATTCCAAAATCATAACGAGACAGTCGAGTACATGATTCAATAATAAAAGGTTTGCTCAAAAAGCAGTTTTCTCGCTCCCTCTTGACAAAATCGGCTCCCTTAGCAAAGCACTGTGTGTGGATTCGTGTGTGTGTGTGCAAAGCTTTTGTAAGGCAGCTAAGGGAGTATCAAAAGTCTAATGTCAATAATGAGCAAACCTTTAATTATTGAATCATGAGTCGAGTAGCGTTTTTGTGCATGATAAAAATATAACAAGGTAAAACCATTGAGAGGCAGTCTGACGTTTGCCAACAATATAATTTTAAAATCAAAACTCAAACTCACACACACATTCTCATTTTCAATCTCAAACAACAACAATTGTGAACAATTTAATTTTTTTATTTTCAATTTTATATAATTTTAAAATGTTGGCAAACGTCAGAACAAAATCATGGCCGACGAATTGAGAGAATGAATTTACCTTGTAATGTTTTTATCATGTTTTTGTGTATGCATTGTGTTTATTTATAAACAAAAATTTCGAACAACTGTCAAATCACTCCAGTGGCGGATTTAATTTATATTGAAGCGACCATGTGTTACTAAGAAAAGGGCTAGTGTAGTTAAAAAAAAAAAAAGTTGAACAACTTTTTAAATAGAAAAGTAAATACTATTTATAGTTCAAATCATGATAGTACAATTAAGCAAGGTTAGATTAAGATTTTGGCGTAAGTGTAGAATTAACTCGTCTAATTTTGTCACACGCTTGCATAGATATCCTGAATAGCTTTTCATAGCTTTGTTTTCCTATTAAATGAGTTCTTCATAAATTTAAGAATTCGATTCGCACGCTTGACGCTCCGAAATATAACGTGGCTTTACAAACCGTTGCTTTTTGTAGCGCAAAGACATTCGTTCATATTATTATATTGAACAAGAACGTATGTACATACATATATACATATAAATATGAGCCGTTTATTTTGAAAGTGACATGAGTCACTTCCCAGCTCTTGTGCTTAAATGACCGGTTACTGGTATCTTAGCGCGTCGGTTATTCGTTCAACTTTATCAACCAATGGTACAAGGCAAGGTTTTGCCATTACTTTACGACGATAGAACGATTTGCAGATACGTTCGGCTGCAAGTAGCTGGTCCTCTAAGCACAAGAGGTACGTACGAGGTGACTTATGCCACTTTCAAAATAAACGGTTCATATACATAGATTTTAGCGTAATAATAATGCCGGTAGTAATGCTCCTGCTCTTCTCACTTGAGTTTAGTAGTACAATCAAAGACAAAATTGAACCACAATTCTAAACCACTTATCGTAAAAATTTTTTCTGTGATTGAAACGCTGATGACTGGTTAACCGATTTCAAAATAAATAAAAAAAAAACACGGGCATCCTCGATACTCTTCAGTTTTGGGGAGTGGCTGGAATTTTTTTTCTTGCCGCCCTAATGTACATACAAATGCAAATAAATATCGCTAATTTACTAAAAAGACCGTAGTAAGTAAACACCGACATTTTTGATGCACGTTTAATAATATAGAAATCGGATTAATTTCATTATTAAATCTCCAAAAACGCAAATTTAGAATTACATACATCTCTATATTAACAAACGAGCTTCATATCCATTGTATAAAAATTTCGTGACGCTTCTTTATTATTTTTTTTTTTGTGCGGGAATGCTCCTAGATTTTCTTTTGTTTATTTAATGTTTACAAGTTTTTTTTTGCCTACCACATTACACACCCAGCACCACATAAATCCTTATTTTAAAATTTTCAAAAAATTTTAACATTCAAAAAACTTTAACAATTACACCCATACAATTTAATCTTTTTATTCCGAATTTTTAAGAGAAATTTTAGATATGCGCTTTTATAGTTGATTAAATTATAGTAAATTAAAGTGCAAATTTCAGGACGCGTTTTAATATTTTTTTTTTTTTGTCTGACAGTGTTGTGCATTTTCATTCATATAAAATATGCTCGACAATTACTTTTATATGGAAGAAAATGCCTAGCACCGTCAGCAAAAAACAAAAATATTCAAGATCAATGCGATTTTCTAGCGTTCTGAAATTTGCACTTTAACCTACTAATTTAATGGGCTATAAGAGGGCATGGGCATACCTATTTTTTCTAAAAATTCTGAATAAAAAGTTTTAAATTTTTGGGTGTAATTGTTAGTTTGTGGAATTTTTATAATTATAAACATTAAATAAATAAAAGAAAAAGGCCAAACTTGGTCAAAATGTCACTTAACTTAATCACCTGGCCACAAGTGTGCGTACATTAAAGCTCTCGCCTCCTGGAGTTGGCCTATGCCGAAAAAATTATACCTCTATTATTTTATTTTGATATCAAAGACTATTTAGAGGTCGCTTAAAACGCTCATAGTTTTCCATGTGTTTTATGTGGGGGAAAAAACTATTTTTCGTAGAAATGGTATTGTATTCTTGGAAATCAATATTTTTCAATCAGGGATTTCAATAACAATATCCAATTGTTTATTTAACAATTTTTTAATATTCCATTGAAACGAATAAAACGACATAAATTTAAATATGCCCTAATTATCTCTATTTCAGTAGTAACCTCTTTTTAAATGACTACATTTCATTACCTTTTTGGGAAATATTAAAAAAATCAAAAGAAGTTGTAATTTTTGTCTATGGAAACTTTTATTTCATGCACTTCAACTTTAAATATTTTTTAATATTTCTATGAAGATTATATAAATGTCATTTTTTATGAAAACGAAAGCGTATTTATAATTCATATTTTACAACACAAAAACATTGTTCGTGAACATTAAGTGTTTTGGCTAAAATTTATCTTTGAGTGCTTTAAGGTAAAATAGGGTTCTTTTCAGTGTCCCACCAGTCACATTCATTCAAATGATAGTTACATAAAACTAAGAAATCGTTTGGAATTTTTGTTAAAGCAATACATTAGTTATCGTTCTATGTTAAAAAAATACCTTTCGCTCTTATATAAGTTCTGACGACATAGTTAAAATTCACAACTGATCACATTCTGGATTAAAATGTCCCACCAGTCACAATGGAATGGCCCATAACTGTTTTTTATAAGTCCCCCAAAAAACGAAATGGGTGGTAAAAAAAGCGAAATAAAAAACAGAGGTATATTTTTTTGGATATAGAACAATCCTAGGGGCGAGAGCATTAAAATTCAGACTTTAATTTTTCACAAATATTTGGAGCTCCCTAATGTACTGCAATTTAACATTTCGGAGTGGGAGTGCAGTTAACAGACTGTAGCGTAATGGCAATGTCGCTATCAACATTTACGAGTGCTCTCTGAACGCACTTGACTCTCTGAGTTAGTTAATAAATTTCTTTATTCGTGTATTGGCCTCTGACGAGCGTTGACGCGGTGTTTGGTGTGCGTGAAGTGGTTTTTTCGGTGAAACGTGTTTAAATACATTTTATTCCTGTTTGTTTAGTTACTCTTCTTAAAAAGCAACTTCTCCGCTATTTATTGCGCAAAAAATGTTTTAACACTTTATTAGCGTTAAAGAAATTACAAAGATCTCAAACAACCAGCTACAATACCTGCAGAAACAAATATAAAAACACAACCATGTATTTACCATGCCATTTGTCTTGGCTGGTGGTAGTTTTCCTTCTATTCTTCGCCACACCACCGCCCGCCGATGCCGTTATAGAGGATGTACTTGATATTATTCATGTGGTGAAAGAAGTTACTGTTGGTGTACTAAAGGCATGGGACATTGTTCAACAATCACAAATCGCTCAAAGCATCGAGTTACCTTTGATGCGCGAAAAACAACGTAAAGTTTTGAAACGCTTGAAGGAAATGAGCCGTCAAATAGACCAGGCAGAACAAAAGGTTTGCTAACGCACGCACATGCTTGCATATATGACATATATGTATGTATATGTAACAAATATCATGAACTTAAACTGCTTTTATTTAGTATGCTGAAAACGTCGCTTTGGCTGTTGAATCTGTGACTGCATTTATGAATAGTAATGCACCGCTTATGGCCAAAATGAATGATATCCACGATACGATGAACCGCATATCCTCGCGTTTCCAGCAAATGCAGAAGTACGAGGAGTATCAGGACAAACTTGAAGCCAGCACTCTGATTACCTTCGCCGAATGGGCAGTGTCGCCCAATGCGCACTCGGTACATCATTTGATGGATCGCTTGCATTTAATATTACTTGGCCCAGAAGAAAAGGAGAACACAACAGCAAATATGTTGTCCATGCTGGCAATATCTTACGAGGTAAACACTCAATATTGCTGCCGGCAATCCTAGATATATGTACATACATATGCACCTAACGAAAACTCAAGGATAGCATGGTACTGTATTTTGTAAATATGTATGTATGTAAGTCTTTGTGAAAACACCACGGTTTAATTCCTTGGCGTTGTCTTCGGATTTCGGCGACTGCCGCCCACTTATTTACATATTTGACAAATTTCAATAATATTTGGATCTCAAACTATGACTAACAAAAAGGTTATGGTGCTCTTTTAAAAGTACTAACATAGATTCAATCAGCAAAATTTAGCATACATACCTAATCGTTCATTTTAAACCCGTAATCTAAATGTCCACTATTTTGTTGAAAGCTGACAAAGGAACCCAACTCAAGCTGTGTGTTTATATTTATGAAATATAAACACGCAAATTGGAATAACACAGAAAGTGTCGGTGAAATCGGAGAAGCTAATTCAGCAGTCGCTGCACAAAAAAGCATAAGCATTAACGACGAATAGTTGTGTGACTCATTCAATAATTCATGTGCCAACAAAGAATGAGAAGACTGGTAAATAGCAATACTGTAAAAGATTACTTAAAGCGAATAAATTAATTCGAGTCAAGTGACTTGACGCAGTGTAATAGCAGACACATACTATATACAAACAAATGTATGTAGTAAATGATATGCTACTGTAAGCGATGAGTTTATGAAATTAATCATAAATCCTAAATGATTTCCAAACCAGAGGAAAACAATTTTTTGTTGACCATGGCAACCATGATTTGCCAACAGTGCTGACCCATGCACAGGGCAGCTGAAAAATGTGAATGCAATTTAAAAATGTGAGAATGAACACCAATGTTGGTTGAAGTGAGTGCAAGAAGAGTAAGAGCAAGCAAGCACTTTAGGGCAAGACATCCATCCGATAAGATGGAAGCAAATATGTTTAGACAAAATTAAATAGTAAAACAGTGAATTTAATATACTTGGGGGCCCTAAATAATGATCAGCAATTATAACAAATTTAATAATCAGGGAACTAACCAATAAATATCATTTAGGCAGTTTGGCAAAATTATTTTATTTTGTTATAATTACAACGTTATTTTTGTCACATATTCCGCAAATGTAGTATTGGAGAAACGAAGCTAATTAAATTTAGTCAGGACTGTTAAAAACTATATACTATATATAGACTGTTAAAAACTATGTAAGCAGTAGATGACGGATCTTATACTTAGTCAGCAGGTTGATTTATAACTAATAATAATATTTACAACTGTAAAAACCTGTTCACGATTAGCTCTGCTAAATCGCCGAAGCTTGGCTTAAAATTTCTATCAAAAGACAACTTAGCAAATTCAAATAACATAGCCCATAGTCAAGTCACTCACAGGCACATACGTACAATATATGTACATACAAATATACATAATGCTCGCTCTTCTCCGCATCTGTCTACATGCAGGTGTAAAACCAACGAACACACCAACCAATGTGACCAAGCGTTAACAAAAATCTACTTGACAATAATTATAGAAAAAGTTGGATCTCATTAAAAATTAAGTTAAAAATTGTCAGCGTCTTAAACAGTTATAAGTTACAAATCATAATTTCTTTTAACATAATCAGACTCTATAACTCATGCTAGACTTATCCGACCCCGTTTGCTGCAACAGTCGAGAGATATTTCAATTCAGATTCAGACTTTCCTGTAAAGCACGGATAAGAACTTTTAGACTTAGACACTAGAACCACTTGGGTAGCTAATATTTGTGCTCATCCGCTAAACTACATATCACACCTTTTATCTCTAAAAACTATTTCACCTAAATTTATAAATATTTTGAATGTGATGTAAATTGCTTGCATGGGTCTTTTAGAGTGTCTCAGACACTGTATAACAATCTTCAAAAGATCTTCGTATATACATACAAAAATTAATTAAATTTTCGCATAATACGTAACCCAGCTTCCCTATCAAGCGAGTGTGAAATTTATAAAAAAAATCCTAGTGCTATTCACTAGTAACAGGCCTGTGTTTTCTGCTGGCCCGTAATGGGTGCCCGAAAATGCCTATTTTGTTTTCCTTTTGTTTCAGAGAGTATTTTTTGTTTCTTAATAGCCCAAGTTCGACCGGAATATTTTTTCGGGCGAGTTTGTGAAAACTATCAAACTGCCAGATGAAGAGAATGACAAACATGCAAATTTTAGCTAATAGATATAGGCATATTTAGCTGTTTTTCTTTGATTGATAAATCACAAAACAACAACGAAGCTATGAATTTAAGGTTATTGTGTTCGCTGTCGGTCAAATCTTAATGTCCCGAAACAAGCCCGAAATGGGCATTGAACATTTTTTCTACAAAGCTGATAGTGGAAAATAACGCCTTCATATTGAGCCCTAAAAGCCAAAAAATGTAAGCGACAATTTTTCAATTTTAATTTTGATGCAGAAATGCGTCTAGATGCTCTAAGAACATTTCTGCATCGAAAAGAAAATTAAAAGAGTGTCGCTTACATCCATCGTTTTGACGGTTAGGGCTCGATATGCACTTTACATTTCCACGAATTGTCTTCAACTGGAGCAAACATGTTACATTATTCGATCATCAAAGCATAGTTACCCCAAAAGCATTCAACAAACGTACATCTTTTGAGACCCTGAACTAATCTGGTAAGAATCAACAAGTGACCATATTTTATTCAAAGTATAGTATTAAATATTTGAGGAATAATAATGTCACGAAGCTAGCCCGATATTCTCAATTCTTCAAAAACTAACCTGGTAACACTAAAACACACTCTTCATCAGAGCGGGAGGTACGCACACATATCTACTATCATATATAAATACATAGTATATGTAAATATATCTCTCCTCACCATCGATTCACAATCTCAGCCAGCGCTGAGATTTAGCGGAATCGTCGCCATTCGTTGACTGGTGGTCTACCCACCTCAACATTTTCGGTTCGTTTACATGTTTCGACCTCGATTCGTTCTCAGCTTGGTTACGAGTTTCGCCTCTCATCAAAATAAAATTCCCATTCTATCGCCGTGTTTTTACTTTAGCTTTGCATACTGAACAAAACAGACAAAGTGGCTCGTCACAGCGCGGCAGCACACAATTGTTTTAAAATTAAACAAAAGTAAAGAACCAATCTACTTCCATTTGGATCGCGTAATACTAAGCATTTCTACATAGAAGAGAGTTAAATTAGCATTGTCATTTCAGTAGAGCTTCGATATATTTTACTTTTCTGCTGAAAACAGCATAAAATAAGAAATTTTCAAAGTGATAAACGAATTTCCGTGTCGAACAGAGGTGGTTGTGCATGCCAAAACGAAAGCGCATCAGACGTCATAAACACAGAATAAGTGTTTGTGTGTGAAACGGAGGAGAAAACAAAGACTTGAAATTATTGAATTGCGATGAGATTTCGTTTATCCAACAGACAATAAGCTACACAATCAGACGTGTTTGCACGTACATAAAATGTGCATAAAAATGTCGAATCGTAATAAAGTTTAGTCCAACTGTATACATTTCACGCAAACGGCTTACAGCATACAGCTTTTTTTTTTTACAAATCTAATATAAAACCTATGCTCGAGGTCAAAAAAGACATTTTCATCTCTTGTGGTGATAACAAATAATAATAAAACAAAACACAACGCTAAATCAAAACAACAATCAAAACTTAAACTTAAGCAACACAGCAAATATGCTGTTACTTAGGAAGCGCAAAAACCACTGCGTAATGGCAAC